GAGGCTGAGGTGGGAGGATCGCTTGAGCCTAGGAGGTTGAGGCTGCTGTGAGCCATGTTCACACCAACACACTCCAACCTGAGCTACAGAGCAAGAGCCTGTCTCAAAAATAAAAAAAAATTAAAAGGCATTTATCTCATAGAGACAGGTTCTCACTGTGTTGTTCAGCCTGATCTCGAACTCCTGGCCTCAAGCAGTCACCTCAGTCTCCCAAAGTGTTGGGATTCCAGGCATGAGCCACCAAGCCTGGCCACTTACAGAACATCACAATTCAGACTAGCCACATTTTGAGTGCTCGGTAGCCACGTGTGGTTCATGGTGACCACCCTGGACAGGGCAGGACTGGATGATAAATTGAAACTTTAAAAATGCAAGTGGCATACACAGTGGGAACTTGAATGAAGGCTTCCCAACTCTCTTGGAAAAGGGGGTAGGCTAAGGAGTTGAAGGGGATGGGGAAGAATCTCTGGATCTGCTCTTTAATTTCAGCACAACCTTGATGAAGATGAAATGGATGATCCTGGAGATTCAGGTAAGAGATTGGGCTTTTTGCTCTGGTTCCATCTGCCCATCTCCTGCCTACCCAGATATTTCTGACTGGGGCATTTTTGTTGTTTCCAGATGGGGTCAACCTCATTTCTATGGTTGGGGAGGCCCAAGACCAGGGTGAGGCTGAAGTCAAAGGCACTGTGTCCCGAAAAAAAGCAGTTGCCACCCTGAAGGTGACTGGGTACTGGGAAAAGGAAAGTCTCCTTCGGATTCTGGACATCGGGCTGTCACTGAAGTCCTTGCCTTTTAGATCTACAACAGGTCCCTGGAAGAAGAATTTAACCACTTTGAAGACTGGCTGTATGTATTTCCTCTGTACCGAGGGCAAGGGGGCCAGGATGCAGGTGGAGAAGAGGAAGGATCTGGACACCTTGTGGGCAAGTTCAAGGTGCATTTGGGGAAGGAAAGCAGAACCAGGGAGCCCAGGTGGGGATTCAGAAGGACAATTCTCTTATCAGAGCCCTTTCCGTCTCCCCCCAACTCAGGGCTCCTTCCTCATTTACCCTGAATCAGAGGCAGTGTCATTCTCTGAGCCCCAGATCTCCCGGGGCATCCCACAGAACCGGCCCATCAAGCTCCTGGTCAGAGTGTATGTTGTAAAGGTGAGTCTCCATAGCCCTGGCATGCCTCCAACTATAGCTAAGGTAATGTACACGAAACCTACAGAAGGAAGGCTTTGGGAGGAACCTCGGGATCACAGAGTTCAAGTTCTTCATTTTTTAGGTGAGAAATCTTAGCCACAAAGTTAGGAGATCCCCTAGGGTTATAAAGCATGCTCATGGCAGAACCAGAATTGGGAGTTGGTCTCCTGACCCCTGTTTGTAGTTCTAGTCCTGTAGAATGAGGAGTATAATTCTAGGATGAGAGCAGGGCTGAATCTCAGGCTTCAGAAGGCTTGTTACTAAATACCTTTGTCTAACTTTGTCCATTGATGCAGTTTTCATACTGAGTTCAGTAGGGCCTTGAAATATTCTTAAAGATATCTCAGGGCCGGTCACTGTGGCTCATGCGTGTAATCTCAGCACTTTGGGAGGCCAAGGCGGGCAGATCACGAGGTCAAGAGATCAAGACCATCCTGGCCAACCAACTTGGTGAAACCCCATCTCTACTAAAAATACAAAAATTAGCTGGGCATAGTGGCGCATGCTTGTAGTCCCAGCTACTTGGGAGGCTGAGGCAGGAGAATCACTTGAACCCGGGAGGCGGAGGTTGCAGTGAGCTGAGATCATGCCACTGCACTCCAGTCCGGGGGGCGACAGAGCGAGACTCATCTCCAAAAAAAAAAAAAAACAAACAAACAAGAGGGTGAGTGGCAGAGATGGAACGAAAGGGGGAAAGGGGTCAGGGTTGTGAGAATGAGGACAAAAATGGCACTTCTCAGAGTAGATCTTTTTGTATACCCCTGACTCTTAGAACTATAGCAATGTTTCACATGCCCCCACAATAGACAAAAAATTAAAACCAATCATAGTGCTGAGGCAACCTAACATGGAATATGAACACTAACTGTACTACAAATATGTATACAAATATACATATGGAATATGACCCTCACTGTACTACAAATGAACAATATAACCACACTGAAGGAAGTGAAGAACAAAACCAAGTAACTCTGGAAAACAGTAATTTGACAGGGTTCTATAAAACTAAACATGGACCTGGTGCAGTGGCTCACGCCTGTAATCCCAGCACTTTGGGAGGCCAAGACAGGAGGATCACTCCAGCCCAGGAGGTCAAGACCAGCCTAGGCAACAAAGTGAGACTCAGTCTCTACAAAAAATTTAAAAACTAGCTAGATGTGGCTGGATGTGGTGGCTCATGCCTGTAATGCCAGCACTTTGGGAGGCTGAGGCAGGTGGATTGCCTAAGTTGGGTGGATCACCTGAGGTCAGGAGTTTGAGACCAGCCTGGCCAACAGGGTGAACCCTGTCTCTACTAAAAATACAAAAATTTGCTGGGCATGATGGCATGTGCCTGTAGTCCCAGCTGTTTTGGAAGCTGAGGCAGGAGCATTGCTTAAAGCTGGGAGGAGAAGGTTGCAGTGAGCCAAGATATTGCCACTGCACTCCAGCCTGGGTAAGTGAGAGAGACATCATCTCAAAAAAAAAAGGAAAAAAGTGTGATGTGGTGGCATGTACCTTTGGACCCAGCTACATGGGAGACTGAGGCAGAAGGAACACTTGAGCCTAGGAGGTTGAGGCTGCAATGAGCCATGACTGTGCCACTGCACTCCAGCCTGGATGACAGGGAGAGAGCTTGTCTTACAAACAAAAACAAAACAAAATACAACTAAACTAAAGAGAGCTGAACATAAATGCTGTAATCTAGTTAGAAGTATGTGTTAGCAATTCTGAAACTACATTATGTGTATACTGGTATACATGAATAAGTAAACTATATTGTAGATAATGAGAACCAGGTTTCTTACTGTTGGAGAAAGAAGTTACAAATAAGGAAAGGGGATTAAGTGAATGCTGTGATATTAGATTAGAATCAGAAGTATCTGTATAAACTCATGCTTTAAAATATACACAGATGGAAAGATACAGAAATATAGACCTATGTATGTATATGTGGATTATGTTATTAATGTTCGCTATCTCTGTCTGCTGAGAAGGTCTAGAAGCAACAACATCATAGTAGCAGTGAGCACACCAGGTGCCCAGATTTTGGTTTCTAAACACCATGATTTAATAAAGGGATTGAGGACTCCTTGGAGAATTGTTTGATTCTAGGACTAGGGCTGGGAAAATATAAGTCAAATCTGGAGCATCTTGTGGGGCAGGAGTAAGGAAGTGCTCAAAAAAGGATGGGGGCTTAATGAAAGAATGAACACAGCCAACCTGAAGGAGCTCCTAATGGTTAAGACTTGAAAAACTGGGGAAACAAAGTAAGTAATGAGGCTGGGCGCAGTGGCTCTTACATGTAATCCCAGCACTTTGGGAGGCTGAGGCAGGCAGATCACCTGAGGTCAGGAGTTCAAGACCAGCCTGGTCAACATGGTGAAATCCCGTCTCTATTAAAAATACAAAAATTAGCTTGGTGTGGTAGCACATGCCTGTAATCCCAGCTACTCAGGAGGCTGAGGCAGGAGAATCATCTGAGCCTGGGAGGTGGAGGCTGCAGTGAGCTGAGATTGTGCCACTGCACTCTAGTGTGGGTGACAGCAAGACTCTGTCTCAAAAAAAAAAAAAAAAAGGTGGCCAGGCACAGTGGCTCATGCTCATGCCTATAATCCCAGCACTTTGGGAGGCTGAGGTGGGTGGCAGATGGCCTGAGGCCAGGAGTTCGAGACCAGCCTGGCCAACATGGTGAAACCCTGTCTCTACTAAAAATACAAAAATTAGCTGGACGTGGTGGTGGGCACCTGTAATCCTAACTACTTGGGAGGCTAAGGCAGGAGAATCACTTGAACCTG